GAGCCCTCCTGCAGCAGGCTATGCAGGCAACAAAATGTGAGCTACTCCACACTGCTAGTGTCAGCCAGAGCATGGCATGCTGCCTGAGGTCAGGAACACTAGCAGGACACAGGTTTGGAGGAGGAACAGGAATTCTGAGGCAGACACAATGACCTTCAGATGGAAAATAAGGTCCTATGTTGTGTGGGGGTGGGGATCAGGAAAGCAGCTAGTCTCTGAGTCTAGAGCTTAAGAACAAGGTTTAGAATGGACAAGGCCATGTAGGTCATTGGTGTACGCTACAGTGGAAGAGTAATGCTAACTATGCCCTCCCCACCTCTGGAAACCTACCTTTTCCTGGGCCCTGACCACCCACCATCCCTGAGCTCAAATACCATAAGCATGTACATTATTTATTAAACATCTTAAACCATTTCTATCCAACTCTGTAATGGTTGTAACATGTCTCCAAGAGTGCACCCGAAGAAGTCTGCTGTTAAGCATCAGGTGGAGCAATTACCTTCCCCCTCACATAGAGTCCTTCAGAAGCCTGAGAATCACACTGCACAATCCCATGGAGGGATTTCCTGCAGAAAGTTCTCAAGAGAACAGACCACAAAGTACCTGTCTCTGGCCAGGATGAAGCTTCGTAGGAAGGCACTATTCTCCTTGTCCAGAGTCTAGCCGGCACTAAGGGCAGCATGTGTATTTTGGCCAACCATAAAGACATCTCACTTGGAATCTTATAAAGCCAAATGGAGAGAAGGCTCTCACTCCAGCCTGATACAGAAGCCACCAAACACATCCAGGCTCAGCTGGCTTAAAGCAACATCTCCATCTCTGAGGCTCAGGTCTTTAATTGCTACTTTCTTTCTCTGCTACAGACTGTGAAGTGCTCATCAATGCAGTTTGCTCTTCACTATAAAGATTGACCCACCTTCAATCCGACCTTTCGGCAATCTATTTTCTCCACAAGGCATCGAAGACTCATTGATAAGCTAATTCTGGCCATGTCCTCAAGGGACTCACAGTATACTGGCCACCTTGTCCAATGATTGGTTTCACTTTCCATATGTTCTTATAACTTAATCAATCAATAAAAATACGCTTTATGCCAAAACTACATCTGCTTGCCAGTGTCCCATACTAGAACCCAGAGAGTCACTGAATCTCCCAGAGAGGTGCACAAATTCAGAAGGCAATTTTGTCTTCTCAAAAACAAAAGCAAAAAAGGATTGTAATAGGTAACACTACTCACTAGTGAACAAAAGGATGTATTAAGAAACCCACCACAAAAAGAATACAAACAAAAACATGTATCCTTGAATGTTCATCCTGAATCCAGAAAAATACATGAAGCAAATCAAATACAGAAGGGTGGTGGCACACTTGTAACCCCGGCACTGGGGAGGCAGCAACAGATGGAATTTTAAGGACTCACCTAGCCAGTCCAGCATGCTTGGTGAGCTCGAAGCCAGTGCAAAACCCTGCCTCCCAAAACTCAAAGTGGATGGGACCCAAGGAACAACACCTGAAATCAGCCTCTGACCTTCACATGAACATTTAAATATGTGCATGTGTACTTGAACATATATGGACCTATACACACATAAACACACACACACACACACAGAGAGAGAGAGAGAGAGAGAGAGAGAGAGAGAGAAGCCAAATCCTAGAGTTGAGGTTGCAAAGTGAGTCTTCATCAAATGCTTGCCCCCCTTGACTTTTTACTTTGTTTTCTTTATTTTATTACTTGTCACTACACACAATACAAAGATCAGCAACTGAAAACTATTTGTCTATGGCTCTGTATTGGTTGGTTTAAATTTTGCAGTGCTTAAAATTCTACAACATGGCCAGCAGAAGAGTCAGGTTGGTGTTTTCTTTGGGACCATGCATAAACAGTAAATAACATTCTCCGTGGGGCTGGCCCAGTGGATAAACCGAAATGCCATTTAGAGAGCACCTCTGTCATTAACCATATGCTACATCTGAACGTGGGGTCAAGACTTTAGCAGAGCCTCTACCTGTGGACTGAAGTCCTTAAGAATGTCCATGTGCTGGGACCAAAGGTCAGCCAAAGAGTGTCTCCACTGTCATGAGTACCTGAGCCCTGCTGACTGGCTTTTCAGAAACAGACTGACCTCAAGTTCTGGTTCTTTGCCAAAACCATTAGCACAATGGTGTCAGTTACAGCATTTGGAACTAGACAATCTTCATAAAGAACTCTACAGGCAGGAAGGTGGAGATGACCCAGTGGTTAAAGCATCTCTATGAAAGCACGAGTTTAGATTCTCAAATAAATAAATACATAAAACACATAAATTCTGGGTAGTCACGGCAGCCCACTTTGCAATTTCTGCTTCAGAAGGCCGAAAGAGTATTCTAAGAGTAAGCTGGCTAGACAGGCCATATCAGTGAGCTCTGCTCTGCATTTGGCTGAGAGGTCCTCCCTCTGTAAATAAGGTGGAAGAGCAATTGCAGTTGGTGCCCAACAGCAACTTCAGGCTTCCACACGCTCACACACATGTGCACTCATCCACATGGCAAAAATGTGTATACACACAAAATACAGGGATAAACAAATCTCATGGGCAACACACAATCTGTGCCTGGCCTTGAGGAACTGATTCAACTCTGGAAACTTCTGTTTCCTTGCCTGTAAAGTAGGGGTGATGACAGTTCCCTAGTGGGGCTATTGGGGAGCAGGTCCAGGGGTTAAAAGCTGCAAAGTGATTGACAAGGAATGCTGGCTGCTGTCCTGTGCCTCTCAAGGGAAAGAGCCTTCCTGGAGAAGGACGGAAGATTGAAGAGAGCAGTGGGTCCCCAAATTCCCTCACTTCTGAAGAAAGACATGTCTAGTTCGGAACTCTCAGATCAGCCTGCGCTTTGCGGCCAGCCCACATGAGTTCCCTCTGTGGTGAAGTACAGACTTCCTCCTCTGGCTGCTCCTTGCGGGCTCTACAGGTGCCCCTTTCTATCCCCGTCTCCTGGGAACTCTAAGATCTGGGTTCAAGCTACCTCCTACAAAATACCTGGGTTCCTGGGAGTAGGAGGCACCCCAAAGCATCTCATACTTGGTGTTCAGGCCTGGAGAGGGAGTCACGCTGTAGAGACAGGGCCTGGGGATGGATGGGTGGGGATGCAGAAGAGGTAAGAGAAAAATCTTTAAAATGTAAAATAGTAGGTTTCTGAAGCCCGACCACAGCAAACACTGGCTATTCACTGTGGAGGAGTCATCCAAAAAGGAAAACCAGCGCCAGACATTTGACTTCAGGGACACTTGCAGAACGTTCCCTTTCACTGGAACAAAGGTCACTGGGCTTTGAAGAGCCTGCAGAGAAGCAGCAAAGCTCTGAGAATCAAAACTTAGTGAGGATCAATGGAGCCTCAAGCAGGTTCTGAAGATCAGGGTGGGGGTGGTCACATCCCCTCTCCTAATTTTACCAGCACAGTTACAGAACCGTTCTAAGGGAAAGGGGCGGTACCTTGTGTTTCCAGCTGGCCCACGTAGGCAGGGAGCTCATAAGATGTGGACTCCTAGAGGGAAACCTTAGCAGTGGGCCCGGCGAGCAGTTAGCGTGTGATGCTACCTTCGACCATTATTAACAGCAGCCACCCAAAATGGATCTCAGCCATATTAGCCCCGAGCTAATGAAGAAATACACATCATAAAAAGAAGAAATTACCCACATAATAAACCTTAGATCTCCCAGAATGAAGCCATTAGAAATTGATCCAGCTAATTGAGGAGCAGTTGAAGGCTGTGCCCCCACTGAAAGCAAAACCAAGAAACATTTACAGATCTGCTCTCAACGAACAGCATGTGGAGGCCACACAGGTTGCCCTGACTCTGCTTCCCGAAAGAGTATGTGGGCAGAGGGGGTTCTTCAGAAAAGATGGGGGCAGGTGTAACAGCTTCAACACAGACCAGCAAGACACAATCTCTAAAGAGTGAACAGGGAAAATCTTTTTTGTAAATCTCCAAAATTATTTTATTTTGAGGTCCTTAATACTCATTATGAATGATGAATGTGATGATATAATAATAAATGATCTTCTTAGGGAGAGCTAGCTTGTGTTTACATTGTTGTAAGAACTCAGGGAGTTGGGTGGTGATGGCACACACCTTTTACCCCAGCACTGATGCCTTGGGCTTCCATTCACCCCTGAGGCCAAACTAGTGGGGTGGCCAGACCTGAAGACATACATACACACCCATAGACATATATTCACATACATTTACAACTCATGACACACAGTTGACACACATACATACTCAGATATACTCACAATAACAAACAACTCACACATACATCCTGATACAGTCACACACGCACATTCACATATCCACACACACAAACTCATGCATAACTCTCACAATGCACACTTGCACATAGAGATGTTTGCACACACACAGTCACATGAATATACACACACAGTAACACTCACATGTACACAATTCACACACATACTCTGTTATACCATACCACGTTCTCACACACATAGCGCTCCTCACACATGTGTACACGCATATATGCGTAAACCATTACATTTTCACACATGTACACACTTAGAAACTCCTACTTACACCCGGACACATAACGCTCTCACACGCTGGTAATATTCTGCACGAGATAGGGACTCATAGGACTTATCCCTATGTCCTGCTGCCGTCTGTATTTATTTTATAACCTGGCCTAATCTCCCAGGCCCTGGCTCCTAACTGACTAGCAGTCCCACCTCATCCCCTTTACCTAATTCTGAAACCACTTCTCTGACATTTGCTGGTCTCATGGACTGGATTGTCCTATTGAATCCCATGAGCTTCGGGTAAGCATCTTGGCAGGCCAAGGTCAGCTCTCTGCCCTCCTGCCTTGGCAAAATGGAACTCCAGAATCCATTCCAGGCCCCAAGTCAGGATTAGATTTGGAAGGATTGTTCTGAGTTTTCCTATGGGGCAGTGGGAAAACTGGACAGCAGGCAGCCCACACCCATCACCATTCTGGGGCTCTTACCTCATTCACAAAGACCCAATGGCTGTCCTTGGAAGCCAGGTTGGTCTCCACAGCCTGCAGAGAGAACAAGAACGTACATGAACAGAAGCAGGCAGAAGCTGGCAGACACACAAGAGGATGGCTGGGATGACATTTTATAAACATTATTTCCGCAGAATTTTTTCCTCACGAAACAATTCCATTCCCCTGAGGCCCAAATGGCTGCCTTGGTCACAAGAGAAACACATCTGAACACAGATATCTGATTTTCCCCTGTCCTTCCATGCCCTCCTGCAATGACCAAGAGCAAGGTTAGAGGCCCTAGACAGTCCCACAGGTACCACAGATCACAGGTACAGTCAAAGTCTTCCTTCCCCATGAATGCATGCAAATTCCTTTCCAAGGGGGCACTTAAGGATAGCATCATCATTACACAAAACTACAGAACTGGAAAACTGATATATTAGGTTTATGGCAGTTCATCCTAAACTGCAAAGCTCCTGTGCATTCTCTTTAGGATCCACAGAGCTGGGTTCTTTCCAGTTACTGAGGACGAGGTCTAACCCCACCACTCTCTCCGCACTGTTTTGCTACAGCACTTGCCGTTGTTGTGTGTGAAAGGTTACAACTGTATTGTTTGTTTCTATTATCTATTTTCTCTGCCAAGTTGGGACAAGGTGGGGACAAGACTAAAGTCTCACAGGCTACAGTTGTGTCCCAGAACTTTGTTCTGACACCCACATATAGCAGGTGTTCAATCAACATAGCCTGACATATGAACAAGTGAGAGACAGCAGCAGGCAAAATCCAGTCTCTTGTTTTGTTTGCATGCTTTGAGCTTGTTTGTCCATGTGCTTGTTTGGTTTTGCTTTTATTTAAGAAAGGGTATTATACAGCAAAGACAAGTCTAAAACCCACTGTGTACCCAAGATAGCCATGAACTCCTGATCCTCCACCTCCAAAGGCCTAGGATTATAGGCATGCATCACTGTGCCTGGCTCTCTTGCATGTGTTTATGGGAGCTTTCTCTCTCCTTGAGTTAGAAAGCCAACAGACGGAAAGAGCTGGAAGGGACTGATGATTTGCAAGCATGTCCTGCAAGAACGTTCACAGTGAGCATGTGCCAAGAGCTTGCTGAGCACCGGGCACAGCGCCAAGCCATCTATGAACCTGGGAAAGCACTTTCAGATTTACTCCTTTTCTTTTTACATTTTCTTTTAACATTTTGGTAATGTAATTTTTATTACTCTTGATTTTAAAAATATAGACAAATTAAGATGCTTAATTAAACTCACCCCATAATACTTTCTCATTTTAAACAAATGTGCTAATGTCGTAAAAGCTCCCCATTTGTTCCTCCAAAGTCATCCACTGGAAGCTGTCTGAAGTGATCCCTTCCAGAAGCTTCTACAGTCATATCATACAAATACATATCTCCACATGCCTATCAGGCAGATGCTTTAAGTTAAAATCACTTTAAGAAATGCATATCAGGCAAAAATCTTATTGCTAACTTATCAATATATCAAATTTACATTTTCTTATCAGTATGTACAGAGGTGACTGTTCTTAAGAAAGTAGGTGAAGTGGTGTCAGAGCCTACACCTGTGACTACAACCTGTGTGTGGTTAGCAAAGGTCTTAGGCATGCGTGGTGCTAAGGCACCTACACTATCAGAGTACAGAGCTCCGTTAGGGCCTTGCTCCATTGGGAACAGATAAGTATGCTTGGGGAACACAATAGATCATGAAGATAGAGATCATAGGAAGCCCAGGAGAATTTGAGCCCATCAGTCCTCAACAGAGACCCTCACAGGACACCAAGTACAGTCAAAAAGCTTTTCCTAGACCACTCAGGGCTGAAGAACAGGGATTGACCTCTCTATAGCCTATGAGTGAGAGGGTACCAGGCTGTGAACCCCAGGCAAGAGTCTGAAATCGAAGGAAATAACCCTTTCCATTATCATTTGTCTAGTGAAGTCATGCATAAAATACAGATAACACTTGCCCATCTCCTGTCTGCAAAATTATGTAACCCTTGAGGCCAGAAAGAGGGAAATTCAGAGAACGAGGTTCATAAATGTCCCAAGAATATCACAGGAAGCAGAGATAAGAGGATGGTCACTCCAGAGGTTCACCCTCGTTCTTCCATATGTTACATCTATCCTGTATCCTTTGGTCCCAGAAGCCTTACTCAATTAACACTGTATTTTCTTGGATAAACAGACCCCCGCCCAACCTCAGGAAGGAGGCTCTTGGTACTGGCTTATGCCCTTGGAAGGAAGTGAGCCTCAAGGAGGCCAGAGGCATCTGAGTAACATAGTGCTTTACCCTGAGATATTTCTCATCCCATTCTGCAAGCCTGGAGAGAGAGGCTGTCTCAAGAGACACTGATAAGACCCAAGAGTCAATGTCTCTTGAGGACCCTGAAGTATGAGTTGTGAGAGGAGAGCACCTCAGGGTAGAGTCTTGGCCACCCAGCCTAGAGTCCCCCTCTTCTCTACACGCAGATGGCCACAGATGTCTTTAGATATCTAAGACCATGGTGATAAGAAAAAAACATACTGGACTGTAATCTAAATACTCTGAACACATTGCTGGGCCCTTGCTGAATTCAACCCCTAACCTTTCAGAATTTCCTTAATGCTCATTTTTCCATCAGCAACTTGCATATCAAATTAGCATATGACACAGAACTTGGAGGATTTCATAAGGTCCCAAAGGCTGGAATGCTAAACTGAATCTCAACACGGGGAGGTCAATGAGGCTGAACTCAAAACAGAAATTAGCAACTGCTGAGATACAACTGGAATGCAGTAGAGACTAAAGACTGATGGAAAGGCCGAGAGTAGAGGTATTAGTTCTACCCTTGGTGTTGATCTGAGTGAGCCACCCCAGCGATGGGAGAAACCTCACCCTAGATCCCAGGAATGAAGTGAGACAGCTTAAGGCAACAGCCACATGAGTATCAAGGAACTCTTACTGAGCAGGACGGTAGAGGTGTCTAATCAAATGAAGAACTGTCTAGGGGGAGAGTTCAAGTTGCTCTTTGTAGCATCTAAGAGTGGATTTACTAGTAATCAGAGAAGAAAAAACACAGCAGAAAAAAAGTTTTCTACCCTTACAGGTAAGACAAATAGGCTGCCTCAGTGTAACGAGGCCCATCAGAAGTCCCTCAGGGTTGGCGATGTCAACAGTGGCTGGGAAAGTCAGGAATGACTTGGAGGGTGACCGTGGGTGGGAGGCATAACCCCATGCTGAACTGACATCCACTGCAATGAGTTCCAAGTCAGACTACAGTAAGGAGTCCCCAGAGAGTGTTTTAAATCAGTCTAACTGGCTGAAAGCAGACACCTGCATAACACCCTCATGGTTTCCCAGCTCCGACCTGCACCTTGACACGCTGCAACTTTTCCCTCAGAACCTATAGCTCCTTGAATATGAAGGTGCAGGTTCATTTGACAGTTGAGAGGTTCCAGCATTGCCAATGACCATGGACAATTACTAGGAGATCCTAGCGAGTGTGTGGGAACACGGGTCTCCTAAGAAGTCTTCTTACCTGCTAGCAGACTCAGACATGGAAGAGACTGGCAGAGAGAATTGATCAGAAAACCCCGCAGGAAGGCTGGCCAACTTCCCTGTCCTACTTTCCCTCACCAATTAAGCAACAGCTAATTTGTTAAGCCTCTTTTTCCCACGTGAGATAAATAGCACTTGGATACAGCTTTTTTCCTTCCCAGAGGGCACAGCTCACACGGAGACTGGGGTGGGCTGTAAGCAAGGGCAGCTACTGAAGACTGAGCAAAGCTACACTTGCCTCCCTTTGCAATGAGTGGAGAGCTGCCAGCTCTGAGGGATGAGGGGAGGGTCCCGCTCTTCACTGCTGGTTCCCCTTCTAAGCACCAACCTCTCCCTTCTCCTCCCATGTATGTCTGTGGCAGATAGAAACAAGTCCTTCTCTCAGCATGGCGTGAGTGTGGTACAGGGGAGCCTTTGCTATCTGCTCCCTGGTATCACCTCCGCAAGCACATTTTTGTGACCTACAGCCCTTGAGTACCAACCATGCTATGGTATGCTACCTAAAGCCCCTCACAACACAGTGGGATATTTGATTACCCAAACTCCCGGTGTGCTGATTCTCAACCACTGACACCCAAGACTCCGGCTGCCAGAATTTTCATGGCACTCATGATTACCTGGGAATTTATACCCTAACCAAGAACTGAGGCTGCCACAGATGCAGATCCCAGCTGCCTGGCACCCTGGTGGGGATGTCTCTCAGTGTCATCTCAGCTGTTCCCAGAATCCAGCTAAAGAATGAGGTCACAATTACGTCTCTTGGCATCCTTCATTTCCGTGCTCCCCATCTCCAAGTTCCCGCTGACTTTCTTGTTTGGATTCCTCTGAGAATACTCCATAAATAATTGTCATCTCATTACTCCTCTCCAAGTCTGTTTCTGGGATCGCAATCTGAAATGAACAGCTCCAGCCTGGGGTAATGTTAAGAATTAAATGACATTATGTGTCGTTTTACCAATCTAGAAAGGAGCTCAATACATGATCAGTCATTGCAAAAGTCCTCCTCTTTCTGTCCCCCTGCTTCTTCTGCCTTGGAATCATTCTGGGATCTCTTCCATCATCATTCCAGAGTCTCTGCCACATGCACAATCCCTCATACTTTCTTTCCTTTGATCAACAGACAAGAACTGCCAACCATGCCTTGACATCTGTCCTGATACTATTAAACACACAACTCCACTAAATGCCAGGCCTCTGCCATTACAGGGTCAAACAGTGATTTGGGGAAAAAAAATACAATGTGTGCAACCTTGAAAAGTGGTAGGTGATGTCTCCTCCACATTCCCAGAGGCCTCAGAGAAACCCAGTACGTTATCTCCCCTCTCTTGGCCAACATGGGATTCTCCAGCCACATAGCACTGCAGGCATCTACAGAGAAGGGCTGAATTGGATACATTGATGACAGCTCCTATATTCTGCAGGTGTGTATTTGGGGTGTCAGTGAGATAGTCTCATGCTCAGAGATGACCTTCTCATTCACCTCCATCAAGTGGCAAG